TTCACGCACATCACTTATTAAATAAAACTAGTTTTAACGGGTTGATGCACGAAACTTTATTTATTTATTTATTGACGTTTCGCAGCCTTTTCAGGTTTGCTTCGTCAGAATACTGATTTTTTATTTAATTTTGTCGAGCTACCTTCGAAAGACTTTTATTGAGCGTTCGATTATTTCATTGTTAGATTTTTAAAATTTTATTGTCTATGTATGAATTTATTAGTTAATTTAGTACTTTATTTAAAGTTCTTTTTTGTAATTTTGAGTTTATTTATTTGACCCTAACTACCGTAAACTACCACCGGTTCCAAAATTGTTAGACCTTTCTGAGAAGAACTGGCGAACAAACTCAAGAAAGGCTTTCTATCTCCTTTCTCTCTCTCACATTACTATATTTTTTTTCCGGTTCGTCAGCAACCCTGATTTTAGCATGTAATTTCCAGCAGAGATAAGTCTGCTCTTTGCTTCATCGAGTATAAATATAATTATGTATTCTATCTGTTAACCTACTATCCCATAACAAAAGCCTACAGTGCTTACTTTTGGAGCTAGGCTAATTGGTGTGTGAAAGAAAAGTATATGCCCCAAGAACTAGTTAAAGTATTCAGCTTTAACCGCACATCATCTAACTGAACTATATGACACAGCATTCTCAATCTATATGTTCACATCAGTATTTTATACCTGTTCGGAAGTGTGCTATTATTAAACGAGATTGAATTTGAATTTTTGAAGTTATACTTCTTTAGGTGCGTTATGAAAAAATGATGAGAGTGAAATTTTTAGATGCGCGCGCATCACTGTAACCCAAAAGTAACAGCATGAAGTTGGCCGCGGGCGCGTTATGAAAAAATCATGTGAGCAAAAAATTTCGAGATGCGCGCGCATCACTGTAACACAATAGTAACACCATGAAGTTGGCCGCGGGCGCGTTATGAATGTTAGTGTCTAATAATGGTGGATTATTAACCACTTAGTGGTTAATAATCCACCATTATTAGACACACCATTATTAGACATCTGTTCGAAAGGTACTTTGAACGATCCACGGAGCTCCATAAGATGATCGCGTTGTCAAAAACAATGTTGGCACGCTCGTCGCCTCTGATCACTGTTTTCATATTTATAATATTTATCCACATGTTTCTAGTTTCTATATAGACACAACGTGTTTTAGTTACTTACAAGTGCTAATTACATATGGACTAATAACTTAAATTCAGTAGTGATTTTAATTGAATATTTATTTAATTTTTTTTCTAGACTTGAGTGTGGGATAACATTTGCGTCATTGAGCTTAATGTGTCAAAGCTATAATATGTCACGTTGCCTGGTGTATTCTCTAATTGACTATTCAGATTGCGGCGCAGTTAGGTTAGGTCACTGCGTTGCGTCACACGACCCCTTGACCCTCGAGCTGCGCAGGAGTTCAACTAGTACGTCTGTTTAATCTTACAACAATATGACTTCCGAATATTGTAGCATTGTTTATATTAACTAAATCTTTTGATATGTTAATTGTACAGAAGTTTTTTTTAGAGTTAAATAACATATTTATCTATCGAGTCCCTATTCTCCAGGGGTAATCTACATCAACATGATTTGTTTTTGAGCAAATTATGGTTATAAAAAGACGTTTTCCCGCTTTTTTAGACATTCATTTTATATCTGGGGGGATTGCAAATCGGAAAAAATACGCCTCTGCATCTAATGTTGTTTCTTGCAGCTCTTTTCATGCATCTTCTGCGATTTTCTGTAACACCTCCCGATTTTTTAAATCAGACCTGGCAACACTGGTGGTAGCCCTCACGCTCTATATAGAATAAGACAATTTGTTTTTCTTTAGGTTATTTTTATTCCATTGTTTACTTTCTATCCTTCTATCACTGTCAATGTCATTGTCAAAATTTAAGTGTTCAGTAATCTGTTTCACGCATCTCACGTTAGTATTTTATTTAAGTTTGTATTTGTACTATGTGTTCGGCTTTATGGACTTGTATCATGGCTATGTCATTTGCTAATAAAAAAAAAACCCTCACGCTCTCGTTGGCTGATTAATTTCCTCCTATATTTAACATCAAAGTGAATCGCCCAGTAAACCAACAACGCCGGGTGGGCGTCTGGCAGCGGCGATTACTCGATTGCACTGCAATCTCTACTCGCTTGCACATCAATCGATTGCTGTGCGTAATCGATACATCGAGACACAGGCAGTGTTAGGAATATCTAGTGAATAGCCAGTTTCAAATGGCAAGATCGTGCTCGTGGGTACGTTTAGCAGGTGTGGTACGCATGTATCACCATCACGCTTTTACTGTGACCTCATGTGTTTAAAGTGACATCAGATTTCACACATACGAGTACATTAAATAGATTTCTTGATCTTGCGGGGTTGGCAAATATTTTAAAGGTGCGGCCTGAAGACCAAGCACGAAGAATGGAAAATCCGTAATCGTATCGTCATCGTCAAATTTTGTATAGAAGGAGCCAGTTTGTTCTTACGTCCGGTAGTGACGCTGCTTAGAAATTTCACAGAAACTTTGTCGATTTTGTACGATTACGAAAAAATCATAGTTATTGATACCCAAACAAAGTTAGTGCCCCCGGTGATATGAAACTAATAAATGTTGTTTTTATGTTTATACACAATTTTCAAGCCTTCTATCTGTTTGTATCCCGAAAAGTTAGAATGGTATTATTTACCCATTCGTATTGTGTGTTTTTCGCTACAGATATGCAGAGGATAACTAAACGATCTGTTATAACCCGTCTTAGCAACCATAGAATGCTAATTTATCAATAATGTTCATAACTGTTTTATCTTATTTAGTGCGGGAATTGATGAAATTTAATTATTTCATCAATTCCCGCACTTAAGACTTCGGCAACGAGAAAGAAAGGTCCATCCGGGTAGCTCAGGACTTGGTCTTCGAGTTCGCGTGTGTAATTGTCTAATTAATTTCCATTAAATTCGTATCCGGTAATTTTGGTTAATTTTAAAAAGACGAACAGCGCCGGCCTCCTAACAGATCAAATACCAAGTTAAGAAAACATTCGGAAATTCTAAAACACTCGAACACAAACACAAAGTAAGCCAAGCCAGGTAAACAGTGTTTTCAGATAATCAACAACATATTATGTGATACAAACTTCATGGCGGTTGGGAAATTCCGCGAGCTCAACTATGCGCATGTTTCAGTTCAGTAATTCAGTAGTTCAGTATTCCAGCTGCTGCATTTCGCCATCGTACATCGCGACAAAAATTTCATCCCCCTCATCTTGATGCGTGGCTATCCACAACCGTGCGTTTTTGCCGAAATTTTTTACCACGTACGACAAAACTGTGGAATATGTTGTCGCCAGCAGTGTTTCCGGACCAATACGACCCAAGAACTTTCAAAAAAAGAGCGTACTCCTTCCTTAAAGGCCGGCATCGCATTTGTGATACTCCTGGTGTTGCAAGTGTCCATGGGCGACGGTGATCACTTACCATCAGGTGAACCGTCTGCTCGTATGCCCCCTATAACATTAAAAAAAAAAGTAATATTCGCACTTTTTTTCAGTGGAACCAATTACTACAGCACCGCAATTTACATTAAATAATGTGAAATATACAATAATTGTTCAATTGCATTTTAATAGCTGTGTCATGTCATACAGTGTCAAGATTTTTTTTTTATAAATAGACAGGTAAGCAATTATCTCTACCCCACCTGATGTTAAGTGGTGATAAAGTCCAAACGCGAAGATAGCTCGTACAGCAGTTATAAACTATATAACTATGTAAGATTCGTTCGGAATACATAAACCTACCACCAAAGAAATTCGACACCTATCATTGCTTGCGTCATTCTTTAACTACATTCAATGAATTCTTGCCGTCTAAACAACAGCGTTTGCAACAATGTCATTTGACCTGCGCGGGAGTTGAAGAGGCGGTTACTAGGTAGCTACCATTAACTAATTCGCATGCCTTGCCGATACATAAATCTTACATTGACATCGTATAATCACATTGTTTTGCGATTATGAAATGGATCGTAGGCTTGTTAATGAAAATATAAAAGACTTTAATTAAGAAGCTTTGTTTTATTACATAATAACTTAGATTAAAACAAAAAGGGTAGATACGGTACGCTCATACTAGCATCAACTAAAATATGATCCGACTCAACTACATAAACTACTCTCACACACGCACACGTCTGTATATAAACATTCAATCGAGCGAGCGAGACAGAACCTATACACTTCAACGCAGGGTATTGTTGTCCTTTTCTTGAAAATGGCGATTACGTAAATAACATTCACGACAAACCGTGAATTTTGAGGAAAAAACGATTTTACAGTTTTACGAATGAAAAGTATTGCCGAGGCATTTGTTATTTGATTTTGAACTATTAAGTCTTTATAAAAGCATCGAAGGCATTGTTTTATCTCCAAAACACAGAATATGCGCAATAATGCTATATTGAGTGCACATGCAAAGTGTTTGAATGTTCAATTGTGACTAAAGCGAATTGTGGTCACGCACCACAATTTAGGCGGACCACTTTTGAGCCGCGAGTGCCGTATTTTCCCTTTTTGTTTCAATCTAAGCATAATAACTACTCATATGATATATTTCTTTATATTTAAAGAGTGGCAAACCTGCGTATGGCCCACCTGATGGTAAGCGGCCACCATAGACTATAGACGATTGCGATACCATAAATATCACTCGCTTCGTTGCCTACCCTGAGCCAATCCCCTACCCCGTGGAGGTAGTCTTACTCACCGACAGAAACACAACAGTAGGTAGTGCTATTTTACTGCAAAATTATGATATTTTTAATGTGTAATTTTATAGATAAGACCGAAATGACCGAGGAGCTCGATAGCGCAAGTGGTTAGCCCGTTCGGCTGCGATCGTTGAAGTTAAGCAACTTTCGCAGTGGTCGGTCATTGGATGGGTGACCAAACATTTACTATCTCGAGCCCCTCCGTGCTTCGGAAGGCACGTTAAGCCGTTGGTCCCGGCTGCATCTGCAGTCGTTAGCACCCACCAATCCGCACTGAGCCCGCGTGGTGGGTCATGGCCCAATCTCCCTATAATCCATCCATAGGGAAGGCCTGTGCCCGAGCAGTGGGGACATTAATAGGCTTACGACGATGATGATGATGATGAAGACCGAAATGAAATGCTAATAGAATAGGACAATATGTGACTTAACCGTTACAAAACCAAAGACACGATACTAACACCTTAGCTAAGTGCTTATAACATATTATTGCAACAGACAATTAGAATATCATTTTAAGGATTTCAGATGTTTTTATTTAATTCCGAATGTCATTTATTTAAGATTGTTTATTTAATCTATAAATGGAATGTTTACTTATTAATATACTTCCGGACACATATATAGGCCCACTTAGTGTTATATGTTTCAACGGTCTGTACCAAAAATATATGTTTATGGTTGAGCAATAACTTGAAAGACACACGAAATGATGGATGTTAAATCAGCTTCAAAATTGCGTAGGTATTAACTTTTTGCTCAATGTAACATTCATTTCTAGCTAGGAACCGTCAAATATCAAAATTCTTGGTGGGTCGATAGATGTGTCTGGAAGTATATTATAAAGCAGAAGAGTTGATTGTCTGTTTGTTTGGTTGAACGCGCTAATCTCAGGAACTACTGGGCCGATTTGAAAAATTCATGTTATGTTAGATTGTGTATGTATTAAGGTATGCTTATATAACACAATGCTATGACTAATAAGGGCGGGGCACCATTGAAAAACAGCAAAAACGAGATAAATATTCTATTTGCGAGCTTAGTGGAGTGCGCTGCGTAAACGGTTAATGAAGTCTTTTAATTTCATTGAGGTCTCAGGAGCAAGGCCACAAGAGTTAATTAATAAAAGTCATTCAAGCTTGATGGCAAGTGTAAGTGGAGCAGATTTACCTGCCTCATCAGTCATCCTCATCTTGCACACTTTTTATGCTAAAACTTAACATTTTGATTGCACGTTAGCGAGATTTAATGTTGCTCAAAAGGCCCGGAAATAACTTTAGCAAGGTTTAGAGTACATTGACTCTTTCACGACACAAAACATAGCCATTAGGAATGCCCGCGATGACAGATAACATCAACCCTAGCACAGATTTAAGTCGGTCACGATAAAATCTACCCCATACATCATTTTGACAAAAATCACGTGACTACCCTGCCCACACACATTGAACTAATATGACTAGCTTACCAAAGTAGGAATTACAACTCACTGCCCACACACTGTCTGTGAAACACCTACGTGCCACAGTGTTTTTTTTGCCCCAAAAAAGTGACATTCGCTTTTTATCGAACATTTAGATTCAATAGGTTATTACAAATGCAAGAGTAGAACTCCCAGGCGTCAATTCCGTATAGTTTATTTTTAAAAAAATCTTAAAGATTACGTGACCTCGGAGGTCAAAATACTGAAAATAATTCCTACTAAGAGAACTATACGTGATTGAGTTTTATTTGTATTACAGGCTTATGAAGCAATTCTTGGCGCATAATATCCTGTTTTTGTTTAATAAAAAATGACAACAGAATCCCCAAAAAAAATTTTTTTATCGGAATCAGTATTTATTTATTTTTATTTTTTCTAGCTCGAAGTAGAATCTCTGTCTAGTACTAATAGATTCCTTATAATAAGGTTTATTGCCCACAAAAATATTGCTTTCAATATCGGCCTAGGTTTCAAGAAAACGAATTTCAAAAATTGTTATAAGGGTTGTCACCATTTTTGATCTGATTGTGTGATATATTTTTTGTAAACTAAATAAGTATTTATTCCGTTTAAAGAAATTGGCATAATGACAGTTGCATCACAATACATATTAAAACTTATTATTTGTGAGAAAAATATTAATTTATTTATTAAAAACAGTGATGTTTACACACTCAATACAAGAAATAAAAATAAACTAACTTTGCCTGCTACTAGGCTTTACAAAAACAGTAATTCATTTAAAGGTCTTTGTGTTCGCTTATACAATAAAGTCCCAAGCAATATCCAAAACAAGATAAGATAAATTTAAAGATACTATAAAAAAAGCACTTCATAAAAAGCTTATTACAAAGTGTCTGATTATATCACAGATGGTTTATTTCATATAGAAATCCTATTCGAATGATTGGATCAGTTCAAACCCAAGCATTTTTGGGTTTGAACTGTTCCAATCATTCCAACAGGTTTTCTATATGAAATAAATCATGTTTGTATTGACGTTATAACAACATGATGGTTTGTAAATGTTGTTTTCGCTCGTTTTTTTCTGCAGCATAATTAAACAGCGAAAAGAGTGTATCCAGGCAGAAATTAGGTGCAAAATAGGCTTGTTGGTTGACGTACTAAGGCCAAATGCAGACACCACCAATGACGGCAATACTGCACGAACTGCGCTGTCAGATAAATATCGGCATACATTTGCAGATATTTTAGGATTGCATTCATGGTTATTAGATGACCTATATATTATCCTGGTCACAATCAATTGTGAGTTACCAATAGACTCCACGAAGTTTGGCATCTACTGCAGGGCAGTTGCAGAAAAATATGTTGCGACTGGCATCCAATAACGGTGACAGTGCATAAAATTCTATTGCATGGTCAAGAGATCATTGATTCCAATCCCCTTCCGGTAGGTATGCTCTCTGAACAAGCAGCGGAATCCAGAAATAAGTTCTCGCGTAGAGATAGAGAGCAACACTGTCGAAAAATGGACAGAAATAAAACCATGACTGATCTCTTTCATCGTGCATTAGAATCATCAGATCCGGCAATTTCACTACTTCGCCTCCATCGTCGACAAAAATTTTCAAAAAGTCTACTACTTCCGGCTAGGTTGCGAGATCTTTTGAAGGCCGTTGATCAAGATAGTATACAAGAAGATAATATGCAAGACCAAGAGTTCTCACAAGACGACAGTGATGAAGCTAATATAATATTAAGCAACGAAGAAAGTTTATGTGAATAAATATTATATCTGTATATATAATAAAAAGGCAACATTTGACCTTAAGCAATCAAACTAAAAAAGTTTCATCGAAATCAGTCCTGCCGTTTTCCCGTGATGCGTGTTCAAACAAAAAACAAACAAACAGGTACAACAATATTATTTATTTCTACTAACATTCTATGGACTGTACAAAATCAAATCTAACGCGAGCAAAGCCGCGGTCAAAAGCTAGTATATATATTTTAATTTAATTGTACCTCCCTCCTGTTTAAAATGTTAACATTTAAGAAGAAGAAGTATGTGTGATAAATTAAAAATAACAATAATAAAAAGTGACCTTTTATGGACAACCCTAAATTTTGATATTTGACCCCAGTACATAAAAATAGTTTTCTTGAAACCTAGGCCGAACTTGAAAGCAATATTTTTGTGGGCAATAAACCTTATTGTAAGGAATCTTTTTTTACTAGACAGAGATTCTACTTCGAGCTAGAAAAAATAAAAAAAATAAAATACTGATTTATTTAAAAAAATTTTTTTTGGGGATTCTATTGTCATTTTTTATTAAACCAAAACAGGATATTATGCGCCAAGAATTGCTTCATAAGCCTGTAATACAAATAAAACTCAATCACGTATAGTTCTCTTAGTAGGAATTATTTTCAGTATTTTGACCATCGAGGTCACGTAAACTTTAAGATTTTTTTAAAAATAAACTATACGGAATTGACGCCTGGGAATTCTACTCTTGCATTTGTAATAACCTATTGAGTCTAAATGTTCGATAAAAAGCGGATGTCACTTTTTTGGGGCAAAAGAAACACTGTGCGTGCGTTAAAATTTTCCATATTATTTCCTTTGTTTTGATTGGGATTTTTGCCTGAAGAAATTATCTGACAATTATTAAGTAACCATAATAAAACAAAAAATATCAAAAATTACACACAAGAAACCTGGATGGAATGGTGTTTCCAAGGTGCATAAGAACGGCATACATACAATATAAAAAAAAAGAAGAAAAGAGGGTGCTTTTGACCACACGACGGAAGTGAAACTTCTTTAGCTCCATCTGTATGTATATAGATATGTGTATGTGCGTGTGTGTGTGGTGTGTGTGTATGTGTGTGTGTGTGACTATATAGACATGTATGTACATAATACATATTTCATTTACTAGGTAGAAGAGAAAGATAGAAAGAAATGTGCGCGTTTTTTTCTCAGGCTTGTATTATACACAATGACATTCATCTATGATTCTTCTTATACCTGCATGCAAAGTCTCAGCCCGATCGGTTTAAAATTGACAAAGTTTCATACAAATTTCATTCCCTATTTTATCCCCTTGGAGGTAGAATTGATCAAAATCCTTTCTTAGCGGATGCCTACGTCATAACATCTACCTGCATGCCAAATTTCAGCCCGATCTGTCCAGTGGTTTGGGCTGTGGGTTGATAGATCACTATGTCAGTCAGTCACCTTTGAGTTTTATATATATATAGATTGGTGTTATTCGATAGTTCTACCCTAAAGCTTTTAAAAATCAACGTATGGACCGCAAAACTCAAAACCTGACGACTTGTTTTTAGGACGTTTTTTTACTCACTTAAGAGTAAAATTATGGAGTAATACCGTATTGTGAATACCGAGTACGAACCACAAGAGTAAGCTATGAGCAAGTCACAATGCATGTTATCGCAAAAGGGACGCAGTGTCCAAGGAAACAAAGGTTATTGTGATTTGGGCGCACAATGGTGGTTGAGTTACAATGAACCGTATATGACGTAACAGGTATTGTGTGGTGCAGCGAAACGCCTTACCGAGAACACAGGGCAGCTTTAAAATAACCAGGATCGGTTGAAACAAAGCATTCCAATCAGCACAGTAGTAGGATTGTGCAAAACGTTTGAAAGGTATTTCACAACATTGGACTATTAATAATTGGACTATTAATATCCAAATACACACGAGGATAGGGGTGATGACGGGGTACAGTAAACGAAATTCTATTTAGTCCGTCAGTTAGATGATAAAAAAATAATGGGTTCGTATTTTTTCTTTGGGCAATCAACCAAAAAATGACAAAGTTTTAGCGCGTCAAAGTTTGGGAGTACGGGCTCGTGACGTCACTTTTTAGTGAATATTCGCTTAAA